TCATCACATAGTATTCTATTGAGTGAGGAAAATAGAGGCCTAGTGTCATCAGATAAAAAAATCCTCAGTTTTGAATTTGAAGTCTGTTCATTCTATGATGTGCTGGATATTTCAAATTATGAAAATCGAAAGTTGATAACTTCTTATGATTAGAACTATTTGATTTATCCATGGATCAATTGTTCAGATTCTGAAATGTAAAGATAACATCTTTATTAAATGAAAATACAGTGTTATGGTTGTTGTGGATTTTGTTTGGATGCTGAATGTTATTTTTGAAGTTGACAAGAAGGATGCAATTAGCATATTCAAGACTCAAGAAAATTAATTGCTATTTGGAGATCATTGACTCAAACTGTGTCTCATACGTGTTAAACCGTTTTTTTCCATGACTAAGCATTTTATGTTGGTGCCTAATGTTTTCAACGGCCTTCTGCAATGCACAAAGGAAAAGAGTCACGTAATCAAGAGATATTTGGGTAACAAGCGACAAAATGCAGTACTTCCGCTTTCAGATTTCTTGTATCGTTCCAATCGCCATCAGCTTTTAGACGAATCGGCGATCCTAGCGATCTTTTGAAACACAAACTTAAGAAGTAAGCCAGTTTTTGCTGGACGTGGTTCGTCAAGTGGTCACTTGGCCTGCTTTTCATGTAATCTTCCCGGTTGCAGGAGCATTGTTTAGGACGATCTGAGGTGATTCGGATGACCATACGGAAACCGGGTTTGGTTAATAAACGGAACCTTTGGACTGGAATGGGTTTTTTACTTTAGAGCTGTCGGCTGAAACATGCTCTAAGATAGAGACTCAAATTACGGGTACGGAACTAATTCCAAAAGTAGGCAGAATATTATGCTGTTTTAGGTCTCTCATAGGAAAATATTTTCTCCAAGAGTCGCATAAGGCTCAGAACAAAATATAACAAAGTTTTCGTATAGGATTTTTAATAACTAAGCAGACCAGGCCTTATTCAGCAAGGACAACCTTAGACGCGCTCTTTATTTCAGAAACCTATCTTTTTTAATTACAAAATTTACACGCATGAATTCACCTGTCAGTTTTTTGACCAATCTAAGACAAGATTGTTTACAGCGTTGCGAAATGTTTTCCTGAAACAAATTTATCAACGCGCTGAAGCGTACCAGATGTAAACCGTCGGGTTGAAAATGTTATAAAACAATTGTTTCATGCGTCAGCTGTGCGTTCATCGAGATATGAAGCACTTAGGAAGTTTGGTCTAATTTGAGTTCGGTCTAATTTTTTAAATCATTCGTGCTCTCCAAACTACGCCTCGAGCAACTCTTACGCATCTTTCGTGCTCTCCAAACTTCTCGTGTGCTTCATATCTCGATGAACGCACGCTGACGTATGAACCAGATGCTAATTTGTCAGCGGAGCTTGGCGGCAGATGACTTTTTCATTGCCGGAATATCGCTGAACGACCTCGTTGAACAAGATAGACTCTGCTTTCTCTTCGTTATGTAAGTAGCCATTTCTTGTTTGACACATCGTCGTCTTCACATTGATATTTCATTGTTCCGCTTCGAAAGTACTCACGAGCAAGGAGTAAAGATATAACTTATTAACTTTTACTATTTTCATCATCCACTCACAGATCGGAACCATTCCTTTATTTAGTCGCTAGTATGTTTTAGCTGCCATAATCCAAGATAATCGTCAAGATGGCGAGCGCATCAGTCATGTCCCTTGTTATGATCTTGGCCGTTATTTTTGAGGCTTTTTGTTTCCTTCAAGAAGGAAAGGCAACTAAAGAATGGTACAAGGAGGATTTTCCGAATCCTACGATACATGTGGAAGCTTGTGGTCGCAGAGGAAAGGTTTCTTGGATCTGTGATCCGGAGAATATTCTCAGCTACGAGGCTGCCAACAAGATTCAAGATATGTTGTTTTCAATTGTTAAAATACTTCTTCAGGGTGGAGCAACGATGACGAACTTGGATTTCAAATTGGCGTT